ACCAGAGGACTGGCTCCAGAACCGGAGAAGAATTTCCAGAAACCAGAGGACTGGCTCCAGAACCACAGAAGAATTTCCAGAAACCAGAGGACTGGCTCCAGAACCACAGAAGAATTTCCAGAAACCAGAGGACTGGCTCCAGAACCACAGAAGAATTTCCAGAAACCAGAGGACTGGCTCCAGAACCGGAGAAGAATTTCCAGAAACCAGAGGACTGGCTCCAGAACCGGAGAAGAATTTCCAGAAACCAGAGGACTGGCTCCAGAACCGGAGAAGAATTTCCAGAAACCAGAGGACTGGCTCCAGAACCGGAGAAGAATTTCCAGAAACCAGAGGACTGGCTCCAGAAACGGAGAAGAATTTCCAGAAACCAGAGGACTGGCTCCAGACAGAATTTCCAGAGGACTGGCTCCAGAACCAGAAGAATTTCCAGAAACCAGAGGACTGGCTCTCCAGAAGAATTTCCAGAAACCAGAGGACTGGCTCCAGAAGAAGAATTCCATAAACCAGAGGACTGGCTCCAGAACCGGAGAGAATTTCCAGAAACCAGAGGACTGGCTCCAGAACCACAGAAGAATTTCCAGAAACCAGAGGATGGCTCCCGGAGAAGAATTTCCAGAAACCAGAGGACTGGCTCCTGGCTCCAGAAACCAGAGGACTGGCTCCAGAACCACAGAAGAATTTCCAGAAACCAGAGGACTGGCTCCAAACCACAGAAGAATTTCCAGAAACCAGAGGACTGGCTCCAGAACCACAGAAGAATTTCCAGAAACCAGAGGACTGGCTCCAGAACCACAGAAGAATTTCCAGAAACCAGAGGTCTGGCTCCAGAACCACAGAGAATTTCCAGAAACCAGAGGTCTGGCTCCAGAACCACAGAAGAATTTCCAGAAACCAGAGGTCTGGCTCCAGAACCGGTGACACGCCATGTCTGCTCCAGAGTTCCTCGACATTCATTTTTTTTGCATCATAGAATGATCTAGTAGATCCTTTGACATCTACTTCTCTCCTAAGGAGGGTCTCTGAGGTTCTTCATTACTCCTCTCACCCTGGACAGATTTAACAAACATGAGTGAAGTACCATGCAGAGAGGGCCCCATACAGGTAGAGAGGCCCCGTACAGGTAGAGAGCGCCCCGTACAGGTAGAGAGCGCCCCATACAGGTAGAGGGCCCCGTACAGGTAGAGAGCGCCCCGTACAGGTAGAGAGGGCCCCATACAGGTAGAGAGCGCCCCGTACAGGTAGAGAGCGCCCCATACAGGTAGAGTGCCCCGTACAGGTAGAGAGCGCCCCATACAGGTAGAGAGGGCCCCGTACAGGTAGAGAGCGCCCCGTACAGGTAGAGAGGGCCCCGTACAGGTAGAGAGGGCCCGTACAGGTAGAGAGCGCCCGTACAGGTAGAGAGGGCCCCGTACAGGTAGAGAGGGCCCCGTACAGGTAGAGAGCGCCCCATACAGGTAGAGAGGGCCCCGTACAGGTAGAGAGCGCCCCGTACAGGTAGTGAGCGCCCCGTACAGGTAGAGAGGGCCCCGTACAGGTAGAGAGCGCCCCGTACAGGTAGAGAGGGCCCCGTACAGGTAGAGAGCGCCCCGTACAGGTAGAGAGGGCCCCATACAGGTAGAGAGCGCCCCGTACAGGTAGAGAGGGCCCCATACAGGTAGAGAGCGCCCCGTACAGGTAGAGAGGACCCCGTACAGGTAGAGAGCGCCCTGTACAGGTAGAGAGGGCCCCATACAGGTAGAGAGGGCCCCATACAGGTAGAGAGGGCCCCATGCATGTGACTATGGCAGCAGGGCCCTGGGCAGTCAGCGGGACATTTTATTCTGATTGGCTCCTCCGGAATGAGGATGTCATGTTGGGGTGATGGGGATGTCACGTTGGGGTGATGGGGATGCTGTGCTATGTTGGGGTGATGGGGATGTCACGTTGGGGTGATGGGGATGCTGTGCTATGTTGGGGGGGTGATGGGGATGTGTATGTCATGTTGGGGTGATGGGGATGTCACGTTGGGGTGATGGGGATGTCACGTTGGGGTGATGGGGATGTTGCTATGTTGGGGTGATGGGGATGTGACATTGGGGTGATGGAGATGTCACGTTGGGGTGATGGGGTGATGAGGATGCTGTGCTATGTTGGGGTGATGGGGATGTCATGTTGGGGTGATGGGGGGGAGATGTCATGTTGGGGTGATGAGGATGCTGTTATGTTGGGGTGATGGGGATGTCATGTTGGGGTGATGGGGATGCTATGTTGGGGTGATGGGGATGTCATGTTGGGGTGATGGGGATGTCATGTTGGGGTGATGGGGATGTCATGTTGGGGTGATGGGGATGTGATGTTGGGGTGATGGGGATGTCACGTTGGGGTGATGGGGATGTCATGTTGGGGTGATGGGGATGCTATGTTGGGGTGATGTGGATGTCATGTTGGGGTGATGGGGATGCTGTGCTATGTTGGGGTGATGGGGATGTCACGCTGGGGTGATGGGGATGTCATGTTGGGGTGATGTGGATGTCATGTTGGGGTGATGGGGATGTCATGTTTGGGGTGATGGGGGTGCTATGTTGGGGTGATGTAAATGTCATGTTGGGGTGATGGCGATGTCATGTTGGGGTGATGGGGATGCTATGTTAGGGTGATGTGGATGTCATGTTGGGGTGATGGGGATGTGATGTTGGGGTGATGGGGGTGTCACGTTGGGGTGATGGGAATGTCATGTTGGGGTGATGGGGATGCTGTGCTATGTTGGGGTGATGGGGATGTCACGTTGGGGTGATGGGGATGCTGTGCTATGTTGGGGTGATGGGGATGTCACGTTGGGGTGATGGGGATGTCATGTTGGGGTGATGTGGATGTCATGTTGGGGTGATGGGGATGTCATGGGGTGATGTGGATGTCATGTTGGGGTGATGTGGATGTCATGTTGGGGTGATAGGGATGTCTTGTTGGGGTGATGGGGATGTCATGTTGGGGTGATGTGGATGTCTTGTTGGGGTGATGGGGATGCTATGTTGGGGTGATGTGGATGTCATGTTGGGGTGATGGGGATGTCATGTTGGGGTGATGTGGATGTCATGTTGGGGTGATGGGGATGTCATGTTGGGGTGATGTGGATGTCTTGTTGGGGTGATGGGGGATGCTATGTTGGGGTGATGTGGATGTCATGTTGGGGTGATGGTGATGTCATGTTGGGGTGATGGGGATGCTATGTTGGGGTGATGGGGATGTGATGTTGGGGTGATGGGGATGTGTGTTGGGGATGTCACGGGGTGATTGGGATGTCACGTTGGGGTGATGGGGATGTCATGTTGGGGTGATGGGGATGTCTCATTGGGGTGATGGGGATGCTGTGCTATGTTGGGGTGATGGGGATGTCACGTTGGGGTGATGGGGATGCTGTGCTATGTTGGGGTGATGGGGTTGTCATGTTGGGGTGATGGGGATGTCACGTTGGGGTGATGGGGATGTCACGTTGGGGTGATGGGGTTGCTATGTTGGAGTGATGGGGATGTGACATTGGGGTGATGGAGATGTCATGTTGGGGTGATGAGGATGTTATGTTGGGGTGATGGGGATGTCATGTTGGGGTGATGGGGATGCTATGTTGGGGTGATGGGGATGTCATGTTGGGGTGATGGGGATGTCATGTTGGGGTGATGGGGATGTGATGTTGGGGTGATGGGGATGTCACGTTGGGGTGATGGGGATGTCATGTTGGGGTGATGGGGATGCTATGTTGGGGTGATGGGATGTCATGTTGGGGTGATGGGGATGCTGTGCTATGTTGGGGTGATGGGGATGTCACGCTGGGGTGATGGGGATGTCATGTTGGGGTGATGTGGATGCTGTCATGTTGGGGGGTGATGGGGATGTCATGTTGGGGTGATGGGGGTGCTATGTTGGGGTGATGTGGATGTCATGTTGGGGTGATGGGATGTCATGTTGGGGTGATGGGGATGTATGTTGGGGTGATGGGGATGTCATGTTGGGGTGATGGGAATGTCATGTTGGGGTGATGGGGGCTGTGCTATGTTGGGGTGATGGGGATGTCACGTTGGGGTGATGGGAATGTGCTATGTTGGGGTGATGGGGATGTCACGTTTTGGGGTGATGGGGATGTATGTTGGGGTGATGGGGATGTCATGTTGGGGTGATGGGGATGCTGTCATGTTGGGGTGATGTGGATGTCATGTTGGGGTGATGTGGATGTCATGTTGGGGTGATGTGGATGTCATGTTGGGGTGATGTGGATGTCATGTTGGGGTGATAGGGATGTCTTGTTGGGGTGATGGGGATGTCATGTTGGGGTGATGTGGATGTCTTGTTGGGGTGATGGGGATGTCTATGTTGGGGTGATGTGGATGTCATGTTGGGGTGATGGGGATGTCATGTTGGGGTGATGTGGATGTCATGTTGGGGTGATGGGGATGTCATGTTGGGGTGATGTGGATGTCATGTTGGGGTGATGGTGGGGTGATGGGGATGCTATGTTGGGGTGATGTGGATGTCATGTTGGGGTGATGGTGATGTCATGTTGGGGTGATGGGGATGTCACGGGGTGATTGGGATGTCATGTTGGGGTGATGGGGATGTCACGTTGGGGTGATGGGGATGTCACGTTGGGGTGATGGGATGTGATGTTGGGGTGATGGGGATGTCACGTTGGGGTGATGGGGATGTGATGTTGGGGTGATGGGGATGTCACGTTGGGGTGATGGGGATGTCACGTTGGGGTGATGGGGATTTCACGTTGGGGTGATGGGGATGTGATGTTGGGGTGATGGGGATGTCACGTTGGGGTGATGGGGATGTGATGTTGGGGTGATGGGGATGTCACGTTGGGGTGATTGGGATGTCACGTTGGGGTGATGGGGATGTCACGCCGTTGGGGTGACGGGGATGTCACGTTGGGGTGATGGGGATGCTGTGCTATGTTGGGGGGGGCATCGATTTCTGTTTTTCATCGATTATTGACATGAATATATTTTGTACCTCTGCAGTGGGATTCAATCAATGAGATGGACGAGTTCTTCAGCCCCATACACACCTACCAAGTGTGCAACGTGATGACCCCCAACCAGAACAACTGGCTGCGAACGAATTGGGTACAAAGGGACGGCGCTCGGCGAGTGTATGCTGAGATCAAGTTCACCCTGCGAGATTGTAACAGCATGCCGGGGGTGCTGGGGACGTGTAAGGAGACCTTCAACCTCTACTACATGGAGAGTGACCGAGATCTGGGCACCAGCACACGGGAGAGCCAATTCATGAAGATTGACACCATCGCTGCAGACGAGAGTTTCACCAGCGTGGATCTGGGCGTTCGTAGGCTGAAGCTGAATACGGAAGTGCGTGACGTCGGCCCGCTGAGCAGACGGGGATTTTATTTGGCGTTTCAGGACATTGGGGCGTGTATTGCCATAGTGTCTGTGCGGGTCTACTTCAAGAAGTGTCCATCTATGGTCAGGAACCTGGCCGCCTTCTCCGAGGCCGTGACCGGGGCCGATTCTTCTTCCCTGGTGGAGGTGCGTGGAGAGTGTGTGGGCCATTCCGAAGAGAGAGACACCCCGAAGATGTACTGCAGTGCTGAGGGCGAGTGGCTCGTTCCCATCGGGAAGTGTGTGTGTAGTGCAGGATTCGAGGAACGCAGCGATTCCTGTGTAGGTAAGACCGATAATTCCCCACCGCGTCCACCCTACGCCATCAGAAGGTCCACAGAGGTACATCATCCATTCTGGTCCATACAATCTCCATACAATCAGCATACGATCTGCATACAATCTCCATACAATCAGCATACAATCTCCATACAATCAGCATACAATCTCCATACAATCAGCATACGATCTGCATACAATCTCCATACAATTTTGGTTCAGTCCTTGTCATTGGGGAGATGAGGAATTCAGAGGCAGAAGGTCACCAATCAGCGTCTGAAGGGACAGAGCCTCCTCTGGAAGTGACACCTGGGGGCCAATAAGATGTTGTTCATGTGACGGGAGTGACTTTTGGGGGTGGGGGGACCCCTGTATCATCTTCCCAAATTCTTATGTTTAAGTGCCTGTTAGGGTGCAGGGTGTGTATGTGAAGGTCTATGGTGTATTGGTGTGTCGTCCTTTGTCCTTCCCATGTGCTGCCCCATTGTTCTGTGTCTTGGTTGGATGGGGCGGGCTGATGATGTGTTTCCTGTAGCCCTCCCCACTGATGGGGCGGGCTGATGATGTGTTTCCTGTAGCCCTCCCCACTGATGGGGCGGGCTGATGATCTGTTTCCTGTAGCCCTCCCCACTGATGGGGCGGGCTGATGATGTGTTTCCTTTAGCCCTCCCCACTGATGGGGCGGGCTGATGATGTGTTTCCTGTAGCCCTCCCCTCTGATGGGGCGGGCTGATGATGTGTTTCCTGTAGCCCTCCCCTCTGATGGGGCGGGCTGATGATGTGTTTCCTGTAGCCCTCCCCACTGATGGGGCGGGCTGATGATGTGTTTCCTTTAGCCCTCCCCACTGATGGGGCGGGCTGATGATGTGTTTCCTGTAGCCCTCCCCACTGATGGGGCGGGCTGATGATGTGTTTCCTGTAGCCCTCCCCACTGATGGGGCGGGCTGATGATGTGTTTCCTGTAGCCCTCCCCTCTGATGGGGCGGGCTGATGATGTGTTTCCTGTAGCCCTCCCCACTGATGTGGCGGGCTGATGATGTGTTTCCTGTAGCCCTCCCCACTGATGGGGCGGGCTGATGATGTGTTTCCTGTAGCCCTCCGCACTGATGGGGCGGGCTGATGATGTGTTTCCTGCAGCCCTCCCCACTGATGGGGCGGGCTGATGATGTGTTTCCTGTAGCCCTCCCCACTGATGGGGCGGGCTGATGATGTGTTTCCTGTTCCTGGTTGTGTTTCCCCGCCCTCTGTATATAACTTGGCTACCTGTCCTAAGAAGAGTCGGGTTCTGTCTATTTCCTGAGGGACCTCAAGGGTGCGCTCCGTGGATTTGTGTTCGGACAGGGAAGCTGCGATATAAGGGAATATACCCGGTGCGGTCTGGGGTTCCGGATCCGTTATAATCACCTTCTGGGGAAATGACTGGAGACAGGTTGGCTTCCCGATCTGTCTGCCTGACATTGGAAGCTCTGAAAGGGATATCCATCCATCTCGGGGAATGTTCCCTCCCTCATAACAGCTGGAATCTGAGTTGCAGAGAGATGAGAAGACTCCCTCCTTGTAGGGCGCTCAGTGCGTCACATCGATGTATAAAAACCATATTTGTGGCTCAGGTAGAAGGCAGGAAAATGCAGGGAATGGTTGGGTGGTGCTGGATGGGGACAGCGGAGCAGTGATTGGTAATGTCGGGATCGGGCCGATGCGCTGGTGCCAGAAATCCAATCCCCGACTTGGTGTTTCCAGCCGGTCTTGGCCCGATTGAGCTTGGGCAGGTCAGCACCCAAAACATCCTGTGGGCGGGTACAGGAACACCCCCCAGAGTCAATTGGCCGAGGACTAATGTCCCTGCCTACATCCATATCCCCATAATGGAGTACCCGGCATCGGGACATTGTGATTGGTACGGAGCCGTCCTATTGACTGACGGATTGCTGACGCTCTGACTGGCTCCAGTCGCAGGATAGATCTCGGGAAACGTTTTATTCCATTTTATAGTGAAGTCATTTGTGTGTCTTCTCGTATTTCTGTAACATTTAATCTCGGGCTCATATCTCCGGAGAGGAGAGATCAGATTGGAGAGATCGGATTGGAGAGATTGATTGGAGAGATCGGATTGGAGAGATCGGATTGGAGAGATCGGATTGGGAGAGATCGGATTGGAGAGATCGGATTGGAGATCGGATTGGGAGATCGGAGTGCATCGTATTTTAGTGTCTTTAAATGCTCAGTCAAGCTCATTGCCAATCTGTATGCAGATAGGTAACAGATTGGCCAGACGGAGATATGTGTGTGGGGGAGGAGTGTATCTGGGTCCCCCCGGTGGGGGAGGGGGTGTGTCTGGTGTGGGGGGTGGTTGTGGACAGTGGAAGGGTGATAACACCGGGGTACAAGCTGTAGGTAGCTGGGGGGGCCCTAGAAGGGTGTAATTACTAAGCTGCTCCTCAACTCTAATCAGTGCACCAGATTGTATGTAAGATTTGTGGTCAGCCCCCTGGATTGTAGTGGAGTCTCCCCCGGTGGTGGGGGAGGTAGTGCGGTGTGTGGTCAGCCTCTGGATTGTAGTGGAGTCTCCCCCGGTGGTGGGCGGAGGTAGTGCGGGGTGTGGTCAGCCCTCTGGATTGTAGTGGAGTCTCCCCCCGGTGGTGGGCAGAGGTAGTGCGGGGTGTGGTCAGCCCTCTGGATTGTAGTGGAGTCTCCCCCCGGTGGTGGGCGGAGGTAGTGCGGGGTGTGGTCAGCCCTCTGGATTGTAGTGGAGTCTCCCCCCGGTGGTGGGCGGAGGTAGTGCGGGGTGTGGTCAGCCCTCTGGATTGTAGTGGAGTCTCCCCCGGTGGTGGGCAGAGGTAGTGCAGGGTGTGGTCAGCCCTCTGGATTGTAGTGGAGTCTCCCCCGGTGGTGGGCAGAGGTAGTGCGGGGTGTGGTCAGCCCTCTGGATTGTAGTGGAGTCTCCCCCCGGTGGTGGGCGGAGGTAGTGCGGGGTGTGGTCAGCCCTCTGGATTGTAGTGGAGTCTCCCCCCGGTGGTGGGCGGAGGTAGTGCGGGGTGTGGTCAGCCCTCTGGATTGTAGTGGAGTCTCCCCCGGTGGTGGGCAGAGGTAGTGCAGGGTGTGGTCAGCCCTCTGGATTGTAGTGGAGTCTCCCCCCGGTGGTGGGCAGAGGTAGTGCAGGGTGTGGTCAGCCCTCTGGATTGTAGTGGAGTCTCCCCCCGGATTGGTCCACCGCCACACCGGTGAGGTAGTAGTGCGGGGTGTGGAAGTCCCAGATATCCCGGCTGATCTTATATAACGGATTATATATTCAGATTCAGTCCCCCGACCCCTCGTCCCCCAAGTCACGGCCACATGTGCGTCTCGGTTAGCTAGTCACTGTGGGCGTGTGTGTGTGGGTCACACATCGATCCACCGCCCACGATCAAACCGAACGTCGCAGACATATCGATCCACCGCCACATCGAACTTCCCAGACGCATCAATCCACCGACACACACCGAACTTCCAGCTGTACAAATGCTGATAATAGCCGGTCCTGGCGGTCGCGCCGTCGTTTGCCTGGAAGGTAACCTGTATATATAACGGCGCGATCTGCGGCCCCCGGGGGCCCTTTACAGTGCGCTGTGTTTGTTGGGCCCCATAATGGCCACTTAGTGGAAGGTGTCCTCTTCTTCAAACATGGAAATGATGTTTACTGAGACGCCAGAGGCGCCGTCACTTGGCACCTCTGTCCCCACATTACAGGCCGAGCGCCGTCACTTGTCACCTCTGTCCCCAAATTACAGACCAAACGCTGTCACTTGGCACACCTCTGTCCCCACATTACAGGCCGAGCGCCGTCACTTTTCACCTCTGTCCCCACGTTACAGACCGAGTGCCGTCACTTGTCACCTCTGTCCCTACATTACAGACCGAGCGCCGTCACTTGTCACCTCTGTCCCCACATTACAGGCCGAGCGCCGTCACTTGGCACCTCTGTCCCCACATTACAGACCGAGCGCCGTCACTTGTCACCTCTGTCCCTACATTACAGACCGAGCGCCGTCACTTGTCACCTCTGTCCCCACATTACAGACCGAGCGCAGTCACTTGTCACCTCTGTCCCCACATTACAGACCGAGCGCCGTCACTTGTCACCTCTGTCCCTACATTACAGGCCGAGCGCCGTCACTTGTCACCTCTGTCCCACATTACAGACCGAGCGCAGTCCACTGTCACCTCTGACGAGCGCCGTCACATTACACAGGACAACCGCGCCGTCACTTGTCACCTCTGTCCCTACATTACAGACCGAGCGCAGTCACTTGTCACCTCTGTCCCCACATTACAGACCGAGCGCCGTCACTTGTCACCTCTGTCCCACATTACAGGCCGAGCGCCGTCACTTGTCACCTCTGTCCCCACATTACAGACCGAGCGCCGTCACTTGTCACCTCTGTCCCTACATTACAGACCGAGCGCCGTCACTTGTCACCTCTGTCCCCACATTACAGACCGAGCGCAGTCACTTGTCACCTCTGTCCCTACATTACAGGCCGAGCGCAGTCACTTGTCACCTCTGTCCCCACATTACAGACCGAGCGCAGTCACTTGTCACCTCTGTCCCCACATTACAGACCGAGCGCCGTCACTTGTCACCTCTGTCCCTACATTACAGGACCGAGCGCCGTCACTTGTCACCTCTGTCCCTACATTACAGCCGAGCGCCGTCACTTGTCACCTCTGTCCCCACATTACAGGCCGAGCGCCGTCACTTGTCACCTCTGTCCCTACATTACAGACCGAGCGCCGTCACTTGTCACTCTGTCCCCACATTACAGACCGAGCGCCGTCACTTGTCACCTCTGTCCCTACATTACAGACCGAGCGCCGTCACTTGTCACCTCTGTCCCTACATTACAGGCCGAGCGCCGTCACTTGTCACCTCTGTCCCCACATTACAGACCGAGCGCCGTCACTTGTCACCTCTGTCCCTACATTACAGGCCGAGCGCCGTCACTTGTCACCTCTGTCCCTACATTACAG